GTATTTTCTTGTGGTAAGATTAACTGCAGAATCAGCAGTGGAAACCCTCTAGGGTAAACATGAAGAGGATTTTGAATGAGGGAACCACTAAAACCCCAGGATGTCTAATCAGGGATCCTCAGCCAGCAAATAGAGCACGTACTCTCAACATTGAGCTCTAGCTGGAGGACGGGAGCAGGTTTGGGTGAATCTAAGGGTCTGAAAAAAGCCATTCAAAGTGGGGGAAAAAAATCGGTGAGTGTGATTTGAGCAGGACACTGAGCATCTGGCCAAATTAAAGCTGGGGAACTCCCCCAGGAGCTTTCAGAACAGACCCAAACGCAGTCTGGAAGCTGGGGTCAAGGCGAGGCAAACGCTGAGGGTGTTTTTTTGACCACAAAGGCAAGGGGAAGTCCTGGGCTTTGTAATTACCAAGCCGCTGAGACTGCACTTTGGGAATAAGTGAAATTTCTGCATAATGTAACTTACCTGCCTGGGATCAGTCTAAAATACCTTACGGGGTACACCCTGATGGATGTAAAGAAATTATGCCTGAAAAATTGGAGTCTGGGGACACTGGGAGTTCTGGTGCAAGAGAGGAAGAGGTTAGAAATGTTCCCTTTCCCCTTCCCCCACAGGAACCACTCTGCACTAGGGAGCACAAAGCAGGCCAGAAGGTAGAAACTACAGGGTATCTAAAGCACACCTGACAGAAATGCTTTTGAGAAACCAAGGGAGGGGCTCCCCCCCAACAAATGCTGACTGAAAAGACCCAAGGGCAGCAAGTCTTAAACTGAGATCAACTTGTCAGGAAGATAGGAAGAACAATGCTTCCCCCACCCAGCTATAGCCCAGGGCTAGAGTGTTCAAGACTGAATAAATGCTCAGTGCCTAATTGGGAGGAGGACGGGTTAGTGTGGGTGGTAACCACACTTACCACAGGTGTCCTAAAAATAACCATATATTTCAGTTTCCAAGGTGTTTTCACAACCGTTGTTTGATCTGAAGCTCACAAGCCAGTGTGATCCTAAGATGGGACAGAGATTATTTTCCCAAGTTTTACAAGGTAAAGAAACTGAGGTTCCAAAGGGTTGAGCTCCGTGCCCAATTTCGCACAGCTTTCAAGCAACAGCGACACACTCAAATCTCTCAAGATTCCAAATGCAATGCTCCCTTTTATAGTACTGCCCGTGTTCTTAGTGAGAAAACACCAAGGTGGGAAATGGCTGGCCAAGAAGTACATCCCTGGGAGAGGTGACCCACTTGGCAGCTGGAGAGGGTAGGATGGAAATGAACAATTAGAAGGTGAGGATGATATAGTTGTGTAGAAATGTAAGGCTTTCCGAAGGCTGGGAATTGAAAAGGCTCTTAAAGATTTATTTATTTATTTGAGAGAGAGAGTAAGAGAGAGTGCTTGCGCATGTGCACAAGAGCTGGGGGGAGGGGCAGTGGGAGAGGGAGAGAGGAAAATCTCAGGTAGACTCCCCGCTGAGCATGGAGACTGACACTGGGTTCCATCACAGGACCCTAAGATCATGACCTGAGCTGAAACCGAGTCCGATGCTCCACCCACTGAGGCACCCAGGAGCCCCTTTAAAGGCTTTTAAATGGAAACCATTCTGAAGCCAGAGTCTGCATTCCAAGGAAATGGGGAGATGAATTTTTAAAATGTTGAGGGTAACCTGGGAAAGCCACAAAGATTGGCTTTCCCAGGGTCTTCACCTGGGGCAGAGGGTTACACTAGAGCAATGACTTTACCTGCTCGGTTGATCACAGATGCTGAGAAAAACAACTTTGATTTTGGATTTAAACACAAAGTAGGATGGGGGAATTGAAAAGGGTCATAAATGCTAGGTGTTGGGGATACAGCAGCGAATAAGACACTGTCCGTGACCTCAAGGGAACCTAAAGTCTAGTTGGGAATCCAGAGAATAAATAGCTACAAAACAATGTGATAAGTAATCTGATAGAGAGAGGAACTAGGATGAGACCTGAAGCCTAGGGTAAGGGGGAGGAAGTCCACTGTGCACCATGCTTCCCTAACACCCTGACCCAATGCCTGTCCCACGCCCGCGCAGGAGGGGAGCAGAAATGTGATAGTACGTGAAACATGACGCCTCGTGAAATGAACTACATAAATTGTGAAACCTAAGTCATGGTCCTATTGTTCTATAACAAGGTAAAAACTGCACTTTTTTTATCAAGTTAGAAACTATGAACCATGAAAACCTATGAGCAGTATTCCATTCTTTTCCCCCTTCTGACACGATGCTTCTAGAAAGGAGGCTATGGGACTAGAAGGCTGGAACACCGAACTTTTTTGGTTGGTTAATGTCACCTGGGTAGGAGCACGACTGGAGTGCTTGTAGGGTAATGTTATGATCCCAGATTTATGCTCTTTGATCACCTGGAGGTAATGAAGAAGGAAAGTTTATTCAGCTGGAGGTTCAACCTACCGCTTAGGGCCACCCTAGGCTAAATTTTGCCACAAATGGAACTGCTGCTGAGGAAACCATAGTAGAAAAAATATTGCCACTTAGGACGGAAAAACTCATACAAGCCTCCTGCTACTACCATATTGCAAGAATCCCAAGTGCTTTGTTCAAGCCATCTATTTGTCTCTTATACAGAAACTACTTGGCTACACCTGAGTTTTCTTCTTTGTTTCTTTTTGACAATCCTTTGTATAGAAATTTAAGCTTGTGTTGAAATTACCTGTTTTCACAAGATGGTGATTGCTTTATTAAATAATAATAATAACTACCATTTATTGAGTACTCAACCATGTTCCAGGACTGTGTGGACAACATCATGAAGCTTCACAGATTTAAAGGTCTACCCACTCTTCCCACATCCCTGAAACATGTAGTCTTCGTAAGGGCAGGCATTTGCCTGTTTTGTTTACCAGTGCATCCCAAGTGCTTAGAACAGTGTTGAAGACATAGTGGATTCTCAATACATAGCCAATAGATTATAAAATTGAGACTTGAGAGGTTAAGTGATTTATCCATGGTCACATAGCCAAATGAATGTGGCGATCTTAACCCACTTCTATCTGAATGAAAATCTCTTTGTTTCTTCCACTATACTAGGCTGCCTTTTGGTAAAATCTATTCCTGGTTTACGGTTGTGATGGGGGCATAGGAAGTGACACCGTCCATAAAGTCATCTGGAACCATCTTCTTGGCCATCAAAGGCACTGATGCCTTTCTAATTCATCTACTCTCCAGCACTCATGCCTATGCTGCCTTTCTTCTGATCTCGAAGCATTCATTTGCTAGGCACCAAATAAACATACCACCTTCTGCTGAAACAGTTCACACCTACATTTCCACACCACTCTTCAAAACTCCCCATTATACACCAAGATCAAGGCACTGGGAGGAAGGAGGATGTAGATGACACTTCTGATACAGCTCCTCACTCCAGCATTCAGAAAACTTGTCAGCGCTCTGACAACTGTCAGCAGTACAGAGTTGCAAGGAACCCCACACATCATCTAGTTCAATGTCCCCACCTAGAGCAGGAATAATTCTAAAAAACAACTAACTTGGGCCAGCCCACGAACATCACTAAGGGGGTAGGCAAAAGGGCACCAGGGTGTACACAAAACTCCAGGATAAGCCTGAGGCTTCTTCCTGGACCAATAATTTTCTAAATTGGGAGACAAAGCTGAATAATTCACCTCCTGAATAAATATTATTTTTATGTTTAAACCACTTCTGATATAGTTTATCGCAGGAAATACCTAATTCACACTAATGTTTAAAGATAAACAGGAGACTGAGGTAGAGGTGACTGCTCAGGGAATATTTCCGTGAAGAAGTGATATTTGAGTTGAGGCCTAATGAATAAGATTCAGTTAGCATCGGGAAGAGTGGGAAGAGAGTAGAGTGGAGGGAGGTGTGTGTAGTGTCCTTGGCAGGAAGAATAACATGTACAAGAAGAGTTCTAGGACAGAGAAAAAATGCAGGATTTGAAGAGCAGGAGGTCTGAGTGCCCCAGGCCCACACTCCACAGTGAGAATATTCAATAGGATCTCTTGCAGCTCCTCCTCCGAGTCCCTTTTTGCTCACATCCTGCCCAAACACTGAAAATCTTGGGGGAGGAGGGCCAACAGCCTGGAACTGAGATGTCCACAGCTGCTCCAGCATCACCCCCAAATTCCTTAGCCGAGACCAGGAAGCCAGGAACACATAGCTCTCATTGCTTAAGGATTTTCAACACGCTTGCTTAAAACCATCCACTGATTTAGATTAGAAACTGCCTGGTATAAAAAGTAAACTAGTCAGCACATCGTATAAACTACAAATAACAAAATCAGCTAATATTTATATATTTGATCTTCACCACCACCTTTTGAAATAGGTGCTATTGTTACTCTTACTTTACGAATGAGGTAACAGGCTCCAAATGTACCCAAAGTCACACAGCTAGTGAGCAACAGAACAAAGACTATGACACTAGGTCCCTTTGGTGCTAAAGCCCATATACTTAGTACCACACTGTACTTCCGAGCAGGGTTCCTAGGGAAGAGTGATTATGAGGGCCTTAAGCAAACCTGTTGTCCTACCCCCTGGAATTCCCTAAGACTGAATGGAGGGGCATGAGGAACTAAACTGTGTTAACTAGCTACTAAATGCCAGGCATCATGATAGATAACCCTAAATGTGTTATTTCATTTAATCCTCACAGCAACTCCTCGTGGGGGAAAAAATATTATCCCCCATTTACACATGAGGGAACCGTGGCCCAGGGTGGTTAAGCTATTTACCTCTTTGGTAAGTACTGGGGCTGTGACCGGAATCCAGGCTCTAGTGACTCCAAGAAGTCTATACCCTTTCCATCAGAGCACACCAAAGATGGCTTAATATTTAACCCTTCCCTGGTTACATATTTGCACTTTAACAAGGGTCTTTCCTGTGTGAATCTCACAGAACCATGGCGGACTGGGAAGGAAGGCTGATTGGTGACGGCAGGGTGGGCCTGTCTTAAATCACACCGGAATGGCATTGACCTACCTTCTTCCTGTAGTTCCTAAAGTGGGGCAGTGTGCCAGGGAAGATAAATCTCCACTCCTGTCCCAGGCTTCTTCTCCTCCAACTGGGATAACAGCTCTCAGACACTCTGGCAACTATAGAAACAGAGAGCCGAATCAATCAAGAGTTTATTTGTAAAGGGTAATGTCAGAGGACGGACTTCCTTTAAATCCTGCTAACTCTGTACAGTTAAAGAGCTTACTGGCTCAGGAAATTTGATTTCCCTCTGATTTGCTGTCAGGGATTTGTTTTTATCATTGACTAAATCATATTCTTTCTCTCATCCCACCACCTACCTTTTGGAGTGCAGACTTCGATGTGTGTTCCTAGGTCTTGTCACCTCCCTCTTGCTCCAGCTAACTTAGGGCTTTGCAAACAAACCCTACTGAGAAGTATGGACAGCCTGGGCCTTTCCAGAAACTCAAGCTGCTGAAGGAGATATGGTATTTAGTTAAGCTGAAGTGAAGCCCTGCATAAATCATAAAGAGGCGAACCCGGGTTACTCAAACAGGACCCTAGGAAGTGCTTGGGGAATAGTCTTGCAGGCAGCTTTATTTTTCTACAGCCGATTTACTTCCAAAATGCTGGGGCCCACAAGTACCCCAGGAGTAACTTGGCTCCCAGATGCTGGAGCAGGTCTTGGCCTTAGAGCACAGTTGTGGTGTTGTTTCCTGAATTCCCACATTGCTGTTTTCCACACATGGATCGGGCTTCAAACTTCCTGTGTCTGGACCGTTTGTGAGCATAGGCACGTGCGTGTGCGTGCGCACGCACTCGTGTGTGTGTGTGTGTGTGTGTGTGTGGTGTTTATATGCTTGCAAAGGGTGGAGAGGGGGAGAAGGAATCCAAAACGAAGAGTTTATATTGTATATTTGTCCCTTTGTTCCTTTCCCGTTCAGATAAAGCTGTGCTATATTCTGATCAGCTGGCTTCTGCATGTGCAGGGCCAGTATCCTTGTGAATAAACAGGAGTGAGTTTAGGAGATGTCCTCAAGAAGGCTACTTTTCCTTTCCAGTGTTTGGCCAATGTATTTTGTAGGGTGCTTTTTTGGAGGGGGAGGGGAGAGTTATGTGGAGCCATAAATCCTTAGGATTTATTTTCCCTGGTGTACGTGCTTGCCTCTGCTTTTGTTTCTAAATGCATTTAAATGATTTAGTGGTTCACCAGGCAATTAGAGGAAGATGTGCTCATTTCACACTCCCAGTTGACTTGGTGGGTGGAGGAGAATGCCACTCAATACAAAGCACTATGGTTTTGTGGTCTTTTCCTCTAGAAGAACCTAGCCAGGGATTGAGGAATAGATTACAGTAAGCCACGTTCTCCTTCCTACTTTGCCTGTACGCTGGGCAAAATTTTGCATGCAAAGGGCAGATTTTTAAAAGTTTGAACATTTCTTAATTGCCAAAATTAAAAACCAGGAAATTTTACATTAAAACATTTCACTTCTGGTTTCTCTTTCAGAAGTCCTGGACACATTGGGCCTGCATTTCCCATGGTGTTAACCAAGCTGTCCCCTTTACATGCTCCCTTTGCTGCCAAGAAGAAGGTAGCCTCATCATCAGTCTTGTCTCCTGACACTTAGCCTGAGAGTTGTTACCTTTAAAAAAAAATTTTTATTGCAGTAAAATGCACATAAAATTTAACATTTTAGCCATTTTTAAGCATACAATTCAGTGGCATTAAATACATTCCAAATGTTGTACAACCATCACCACAATCTATTTCCAGAACTTTTTCATCATTCCAAACAGAAACTGTGGTCATTAAACAGTAACTCCCCATTCCACCCTCCCCTTGGGCCCTGATCACCACTATGCTACTTTCTTTTTTTTTTTTTTTTTTTTTTTACCACTATGCTACTTTCTGTCTCTATGAATTTGCCTATTCTAGGCACCTCATGTAAGTGGAACCGTACATTTGTCCCTTTGTGTCTGGCTTCTTTCACTTAGCATAATTTCTTTTAAGGGAGAAACTGATTTTTTAAGGTGCCTTTTTTTTTTTTTTTAAGAGCATAGACACTGATTTTTATTGCATGTTAAAGGAGGAGTTTTATTTTGTTAGAGAAAAAAAGGCCAAACAGGACAGGTGGTTTTGTGTAGAGGCTCTTTATTTATAAGCTTAAAATGATCATTATATCCATTATTAATATACGGAGGGTCTTAATGTTCTTAGGCAACCCAGTGTCTTTACACAGGTGTTTTACAGTTAGTGGTTAATTCTTCTGGTATCCCCCAGAGGCCTCTCCATATTTTATAGTCAGGATATGAAGACACAGGGATGCTCTGGGGATTAGTTAAATGTGTGTGGCATACTTTGCTGTATAAACTCACTCTCTGGAACTAGTTTTCGCTCCCTGCTCTCAACTTCCACAGCTTTTACTGTCAATCCCATTCATTTAGCACTTAGCATATGCTTGTTAGTTGTCTTTTTCTGTATATACCCTTGAAGGCAGGAGCCAAGTCTCATCCCTCTTTGTTTTTTCAGTCCTGTCCATAATAGCAGCTTGATCAATGTTTGTTGATGTTGGCCTCCCCCTCCCCCTTCCTTTTAAGTAGAGCTGGCAAAGCATAACTTTAAATTCAAGCCCAGTTTAAACAAACTGAAGGGTTTTCAGGGTAAAAACAAAAGGAAGTCTTGCGTGGCGGGAGAGAAGGAACACCTAAGACGCTTGAAGACCTGGGCCAAGCCCAGGTACCACAAAACCTGTTGTTTGCCACAGGCGTGAGAAGTGACTCATGCACAGCCTGAATCCACCATTAAATTCAGAGCTCTTGCTGACTCTACTCCATCAAAAGTCACATTTGGAGAAGAACAGCAATGCCCCAGGCGGGATCTGAGGAGGGGGTATTAAAGGATTTAAGTGTTTTAGGGGTTTCCATTGCATGAAGGCCCCTGTAGCTGTAGGGAAGACAGGCTGGAAAAGTCTTTTGAGGGCAACTTCAAAGCCAGGGACAGACAGCCGACAAAGAGCCACCATGCCTTTGCTACTAGGATTTGCTTCCCAGTGTTTTCTGTAACGGCAAAAGATGGGAACTAGCCTCCGTGGCCTCTCAATAGGGGAATGCATAAAGGAATTTTGGCACATTTGTGCAATGGAACACTGAGCTATCATGAAAAAGAATGAAGTAACGGAAGTTATCCTGAGATGGAAGAGTAGTAGGAGACATTGTTGAGTAAAGAAATGCAAGGTGTGCTGTGATTGATGATGCCAAAATGGAACATCTATAAGTAAATAATATATTTTGAAGATTGTGCAAAGGCAGGGAGAGAAGGGGAGAAAGGGACTATGAGAACAGTGGCAGAGAGGAACTTTTTACTCCTTTCATTACAGTTTTGATTTTACCATGTGCATATGTTACTTTTTCCATTTTACCAGCATTGTTCATTTTAAAAAGTATCCTGTTGCCATTGTGATCAGTAGTAGTCTGCAGCATATACCTACCCAATCTAGCTCTGCTGTCCACCCCTCCAAATAAGGCTGGGATAATCTTCCCTTGCCTCACAAGCCACGTGCCCATGTCTTGAACTCTCAAAATCTTACTTTCCCCATTGAAAATCACCCAAATAACTTCACCTCACCTGTAACCTGAATCACACCAAGAATCTACTTTGCACTTGTTCCTGCTTCTGAATCTTTGAGCAGCCCTAGCAGAGCAACCTGCACATCCAGGCTACCCCACAGCATGCCACCAGCCTATTACTCTTCCTGGACCCCGTTATATTCTGGGACCCCGTTCACAGTGAGATAGTGTTTCCTTGTGTGCCTTGATCCATGGCCTCTCAGAAGGCTCCCTTTGGGGGGGGAGGGGCTTGAATTGGATGTCACTTTTTTATTGGCATGAGATCATTATAATAGCTCTGCATTGTCAAGACCTTTACAATTAGACTCATTTCCACCTTGTAACATTTTCTAGGAAATATGGATCTGTGGAGAATGGTGATTTCCATGGTAAGTGTTCCCTCATGTTTGTTTTCTCAAGTTCACTTCGGAGATACACAGCATGATTTCCTCTTTCAGTAGCAGCACCACAATAGATGTAGGTTGTGGCGCCACTTCAGAACTGTTTAAAAGAGAAATCTCACCCACCCTGGTTAGAAAAGGGACAATTTATTATTCTAACTGCAGGGATCTGACTTCATATCCACCCTCAAAACTGTAGGAAAAGAGTTGACTTTTTAAAAATAAAGCCACAAAACCTACACACCTTGGATGTAGATGCTTAAAACACAGGAGCAGAATATTTGATTCCTGGACACATGCAAGACTCTCCACCATGGGACATATGCAAGGAGGAAGACACATATGTGTGGAGTGCTCTGTGGTTTACAGAGTTTTCACACACAATTCATTTTATTTTCATGTATCAGTGTCAAGTTAATAGGGAATGTCTTACAGCCTTTACTTACAGATAGAAAGATCAAGGCTCAGAGAAGTTAAGCGACTCAACAAAAGTCGCACAACTAGCTGTTAAGTGCTATAGTCCAAAATGAGTTCTTCCTTTAGTTCCAAATTCCATGTTATTCTGCTATCCTTACACTGTTTTCTTTGTGCTTTTGTTCCCCAGATGTAAAATGGGAGATTTTCAGTGTCCCAGGATGCCGTTCTCAACCCTCTGTGTTCTCAGACAGTATCATTTTTTTTTGGCAGCCGGGAAACGTGAACACCACATTGACACTTCACGTACTTTTTCCCCCTCCTGGCCTAATGAATTAAGGGGGAAGAAAAGTTACCTATTCCCAGAGGGCCGGACAGTGCCACAAAGGTGTACGGGAGCCAGCCGACACACCGTCGCACTCTCTCAGGAGACTGAGAAACCAAGCGTCTCTTCTTTCTCTTCTCAGCAGTAGCTGGGGGAGAACGGAGAGCTAGACAATAGTCTCTTGTTCAGTTTTATTAATTTTCAGGGCGGGTGGGACAAAAAGATCAGATCGAGGACTCAAGTGACCAATCGCGAGCGAAGCCGGGGCCAGGATTCGCCAACCGGTAGCAGGAAAAGATTGGTGGGTGGGACTTACTCTTCGCGGCCTGCTCCGCCCAGGCCAGCCCTCCCAGCCCGCCCAAGAGGCGGAGACTCCGCGAAGCTCCGCCCACGCCACCCCCACCCCCAGCGCGGCCCGCCAAAGGGAAGGGGGGCGGGGACGCGGGGGTGAGATGGAAGGGGGAGGCTAGGGGGAGCGGAGGAAGAAAGAAGGGTGTCGCGCAGAGCTGCGACCTGGGTGGGGGCCTGCTGGTAATAGGAAGCAAGAGGGGAAGGAAAAAGAAGGAGCGCTGCTCCTTCCTGCATTATTTTGAGCAGGCTTTGCGAGAAGCTGCTTTTCAGCATTTCTATTATTTGTGTTTTTTCCTCCCGCTGTTGGGTGGGGAGCGGCAGGGCTCTCCCACGCGCCTCCGCTCCGCTCATGTCGTAGATTATGATTGTAGTCTTTGCAGAACCCTTTCCTTCCCCCCAGCCAGTGCTTGCGTAGCCTCTCAGGACCGCAGTGAGCGCGTTAAGCCACGTTAGCGGGAGGACTAGAGCTAGGACCCCCCGCTTTCGCCAGAGTGGCTGGACCCCGCCGTTCAATTGTTTGAAACTTCCCCGCCCCCTGGCCCCGCCTCTCTTCCGCCCCCAGGCCCCCCCCCCCCCCCCCCCCCCCCGCTCAGGGTCCGGGCCGGCTCCCTCCCTCCGTTCCCCGCCCTCTACTCCGCCCCACTCTCTAGTCCACCCCCTGCTCCGGGGCGGTCCTAGCCGCTCACCGCAAGAAGAAAAGCCACCCATTCGTCCCCCTCCCCTACCTCCCATCCTTTGCCCAGGAGCTGCCTTCATCGCAGTCACGCCCCTTCCTTCCGAGGAGCTTTCTGGCTGCCCAAGCTGGTAGACCCCCTGATTTATTCCTCCATCTCCGCTCTCTTTCGCCTCATCTTCGCTTAGTTCTCACCGCCCCCTCCACCCCCACCTCCAGCCTGTCTTGCCTCCGACCATCCGCTGCTCCACCCTCCGGCCCGGTATCCTGCCTGTCCACTGCCACCAAGGAGAGCCCGGACGGAGCGGCGAGGAGCGGAGCAGCGGGGAGTTGGGACTTCCCCCTGCCCATCCCTGGCCTCCGGCCCGGGACTGAAGCCACTTGAGCGAGCAGAGAGTCGTCACCTTGTCTTCGGTGCCTTCAGGGGTAGGAGACGCATGGTTACTTTTCGCGGGGAACTGGGGCAGGAATCCATGGTGGCATGAACTTGATCGTGCCCTCGGCGTGAGTGAGTCGATCTAGATGTGTGTGGGGATGCCCGTGTGTTCTACTTTCTTTGCAGCTGGCCGTGAGTTTTCCGGGATGAGCAGCAACTTAAATCGGTTAAAGAGTGTGCGCTCCTTTCCCGTCCTACAGAGATGCTAGTGGGTACCACTACTTGATGGTACTTCTACTTCCTTGCCTCCTGGGGTCCTTGTAGGTCTCTAGGTAATTAAGCACAAAAGGAGCGAGGGAACTTCAGGTCTACATTTACCTAGAAGGAATGTCTGCGCTTATCTCAGATTGCTAGATACGGTCCTCCTGAATGCTTAGAGTTGGGGTGGGGGCTCACACTGCCCTCCCCCGGGGGCTGTGAATTCTTGAAGTCCTAAAGTCTGGGAGTAATCTACAATGCTACACTTTTTTTGGGTCTATGTGTGTGTGTATGTGGTGAGGACGGGATTGCCCAGTATCTGCTTTATAGATGTTAGTGACCAGTTTTGCAAGATCATGCAGGTGTCTTGAGGGTCCCAAGCCTGGGTCACTGTATACTGGTGCTTCAACAGCAAGATGGATTTTATCGATACATGAAAACAAAGAAAAGGAAAAGTGAGAGGGAGAGTGACAGTCTTTGTAGTCTGGTAAATTGCCACTAATAGTAGTGTAATAATAATCTGCAGCAAGGGACTAGATACAATTAAATGAGAGAGGAAAGGGGATGTTTGTGAGAAACAGCATTTTCAATCTCTAGCATGTAGTTTAGACTGGAGAGTTGTTTCTGATGTAGTTCTCCTAACCTCCTCCCGTCCCCCACCCCCACGTTAAGACTAGAAGTTGGGAGGCATTTAAAACTTTTTTTGAATATAACCCTCTTCTATTCAGAGAGGAAGATAATTAGTCACCATAATCTTCAATAATGGAGGGCTAAGGTTATTTAAGTCTCCTTGAACTAGGTTTTGTGAAAAGCCCTTTCTCGGGCCAGCCTTTGTGAAGCCTTCTCGGTTAGACCTTTCCGCACCCTCATTTAGTAGCTAAGAGTACTTTGCAATACCATTTCGGATGCGGGATAAATTTTCACCCATCTCCCACCTATCTCCAACTGGGCGAGCATGGCAAAATGAGAAGGGTGGTGGTACTCAAAGACCTGTTATCAAGATGTCACCAACCCATTGCTTATTTGGGAACAAATTATTTACTTACATTTTTAAATAGTTGTGTTGGTTGATTTTAACGGGGGAAAGGAAAGCAGGAAGGGAGAGAAGGAACCGGCCAGGGCGACAATTTTAAAGGCTATCGTCTTTCAGATCAGCTGGGAGGGAAAAGTTGGCCTGACCAAACTACATTTTATAACTGGCCTGGGACATTTTAATAGCCAGGTGGTTGTAGAGTATTTACAGATGATAACTCAGGTTCCAGTTATTCTGTATGGGTATATCCGGTGTCATTTACAGACACTTTCTGTCACTACATCATACTTCATTTTAAGATACTTCTTTCTTTGGAAAACTGTGTGGCTCTGTAAAATTGAAAGTGCTTTTTCTAACTTCATGGTCTAGATACGCAGTAAAACCGCTGGCCATGCTTGTGTGTAGAGTAACTTTTACGTGCAAGTTGTGGATCTGCTTACCTATTTTAAAAGATTTTAGAAGGAAATTTTAAAATTATTTTTCAATACTATTTTGGATTTGGAAATTGAAAGCTCATTTCTGGTTTGTGAAGTAGGAATTATTAGACAGATGCATACCCAAGGCATTTTGTGGAGTTGCTTTTTCTGAAGTTTTGTAAAGAGCGAATGAGACTCTTTCTAGAATGCCCTTAAAAACTTTCTATTCAGAACGCAGAGGGATGGATGCTATGACCTTGAGGTCCCATTGAGTGCCAGAATGCTAAGTGGGTACATCTGCTTCTGTGCCTATCCTAAGAGCCCTCTCCCAGGGCCTGTGCCTTCTTTAAAAGGGTGTCTTTGTAATTAAGCAGCCTGTCTCCCCCATCCCCCTTTCTTCCTTTGATCCAGCTTTTTAAGGCCTTTTTTTCCATTTGGAGACAAGAGGAGTTTCTCACACTCTTCTACGCCCCTCTTAAGGTTTCTTTTCCTTTACCCCCAAAAAGTCCCTCGAAGTTCTCAGGATGGTTAGAAGTTGTTTTGTTTTGTTGGGGTGGAGGGGATGTTACCAGTGATGCGAAGTAGAGGATATATTCCCTCTTGGGAAATGCTTGTGACCAGGTAGCCTCCTCCATGGAGACTGAGCATTTGGAATGCATGAGAACAGTCTATTCTTAGGGACTGTCTGGAAGAAATTGTCCTTTGCACCCATTAAGTGCAGCTAAAACCCACTGAAAGGGGTGGAGAGAGGTGTGTGTGGTCGTGGCTGAGCCTTTTAAGATGGTAAATGGGTAAATGTTCCCCAATCTCCTATTACATCACCTCTTTCCCCCATGGATTCAGTGGGTTTGGAGATCTGCTTGACAAATTAATTAGCTTGGGACTAAACCAATTTGTTCAGAATTGTGCTCCATTGATTTCCTGTCCCCAGGAATTTTTGTTGGTGGTTTTCTATGACGTGTTGTCCTCAGTCTTGCTTACTTCTTCGTTCCTTGCTGCCTTTTGTGGACTTTGGTCCAAAATCTAGGGTCCCACCCCCAAGTCAAAGGTTAGAATTTGGTCCCAGGACCTAAGGGGGCATTAAAACAGGCTGCCCACCCTGCACCACTCTCCTCCATGGTCAGCTTCTGACCCCCTTGAACCCAGAGAAAGGAGGGAAGTTGCCCCTTCCTCACACAACACACAAAATCTGAACTGAAAAAAAAAAAAGGAAAATAAGGAGGTCACTTGCTTTCTAAAAGAACCCACTACAGGTTTCTTTGGAAAAACTAGCTTTCCTAGTTCGTGCCTTTGAGCTATGACTTGATATATAAAAATTCACTATAACTGGGCCTTCTCAGAAACATATTTATTGCATAAAGGAAGACATTAGAATTTTGTTGTAATGATTATAGCTTGAATTAAGTGAGGCCATTATTTGGCCTTTGAAATCTTTTTGTTATATGGGATGGAGTTAATTGTCTAAATCATTCTGGCTTGTAATAATGCTGGCCACATTTAGCTCCAGCCTACAACCACTTGTAGAAGGGAGCTAGTATGACTTTCTGGAGATAAATCAGACTTCACAGATTTTGATAAGTCTAAGGATGGGACTGTCTACCCCACATAGGTTGCAAAATTTAATTCTAGTTATTGTATTTGAATAATCCCAGGATCGAGAAAATTGTTTCTGGTAAATAACAGCAACTAATGCCATTTTTAGTAGAAGAATCTATAATAAGCTTTCCTAGTGAGCCTATTGGTGAATGGGACCTGGGCTCTAGGCCCACCTCTAACTTAGTTTACCACCCTTGGCAGGTCCTCCTCTGTAAATGGTGAGAAATTGGACAGGGTGATTTTGAGAACCATTTCTCAAAAGTTTATGGTTCCCTTCCTAGACCTCTACTTGTGATGTGAATGTGAATGATTCCTACTAGAATGAGGTACAACAATTGTTAGAAATACAATCATGTAATAATCTGGATGTAAAAAAAAAAAAAGCCTAAAAAGATATATCAATATAAATGCATTGTGTTTTGTGTTTTAACAACATATC